CCCTTTCGGGCTTTCCCGGCGGCCTTTTGGGACCCGCCAGACAGCTGATCGCAGCCATTTTCGCGCCCTCGTTCAGCGAGGGGAGGGCGCGAAAATGGCTGCCACCCGCCCGGAAGCATCGTTGAACGGTGAGTATTCAGCCCAATTGGAACGCATGAAACACTGTTTAATGCGTTCCAATTGGTTTTCTTGCCCCATTCAACGATGCTTTCACACAGCGAGGGTTAATCTGGAATGGATTAACCTCGCTGTGCGAGGCACCACTGTATCTACTTTGCAACCCTCTTGCTGGTAAGCAGGTTCCACACATGCTCAGTCTCACAACAAAGTGGTAGTTTTTCTGTTTTAAATCTGGGGATGTTTACGGTCACTTGTTTCTGTGCAGGGGGTTAAAGAGTTTTATTTTTTAAAAAAATCGTAACTCAAAAACCCTTTGTCCAAAATTCCCCACACTTAGAACAGAGCAAGAGCAGACTGTCTGCTACACCTCTGCCAAATTATACTGTGTTTCCCCAAAAGTAAGACAGGGTCTTATATTAATTTTTGCTCCAAAAAAGCAATAGGGCTTATTTTCAGGGGATGTCTTATTTTTTTTCATGTACACCAATCTACATTTATTCAGATACAGTCATGTCATCTTCTTCTGGTTGTTGCACAATGGTGGAGGGTGGGGTTTCACTTACCTGGGGCTTATTTTTGGAGGTAGGGCTTATATTACAAGCATCCTGAAAAAGCATACTAGGTCTTATTTTCAGGTTAGGTCTTATTTTCGGAGAAACAGGGTAGGTGTTGACCTAATGTCCAGTTTTGTCTGCCCCCATTTTTAGAATAGGCTTATTATTGATTTGCTCTGTTGGACAATAAGATCTCTATACTCTCATGTAATGATAAGGTAAAGGCATCTTCTGTATTAGAAATAGAGATGGGGGTATTCATATACGAATATCCCCCCCATAGGTGGCAATAATGAGGGTCCGTTCCTATGGGTCCGTTTATGATTCCGCCGCTGCTGTGAGCTTGACAAAGCCTTACTATCGCTCCATTGCTCATGACAGATTAGCCAGTCCTGGCAAAAGGCAGGATGATGAGCCTCTATGCCAGGTCGAAGAGTGGCTAATCCATCGTGAGCAACAGAAAAACAGGAAGGCTCCGTCGAGCTCACATCAATGGCGGAACGGTGAATGGACAGTCCAGCCCCATGGGGCCAGACCTTCGTTATCTCCACCTGTGGGGGGATATTCATATTCATATACGAATAACCCCATCTCTAATTAGGAATTATACTAACTACAGTATAATGTGTTGAACTGATTGTAGTCTGCAAGCAAAACATACCGTATTTGCCAGCGTACAAGATGACTTTTTGGCCCTGAAAAACATGCCTCCAAGTGAGGGGGGGTCGTCTTGTAAGCCCGGTGCACATCCAGCAAACCCTCCCTCTCTTCCAGCGAAGTCACTTACCTGGTAGTAAGACTGAGTAGAGCGCGGCTCCTAGCCTGGGAACAGCCTGACTCTAGCGCCAAACAGCTGACTGTCGGGAACAGTAGAGAGGAGGCAGCCATTTGGAGATGCAACCACATGGCTGCTGCCTCTCAAAATGGCTGCCACCTCTCCAAAATGGCTGCCGCCTCTCTGCTGCTTCCCCACAGTCTGCTGTTCGGTCCTGATGCTGTCCTTCTTCCAGGAAACCCTCGCTCTCTCCCAGCAAAAGGAACAAGAATCACGCATGCAGAAGAGGGGGTAGCCTTATACAGCAAGTATATAACAAACTCTACATTTTGAGTGGAAATGTTGGGGGTCATCTTATATGCCCAGTCGCCTTATACACCGGCAAATATGGTAGTTCACAATAACCTGAGTTCACTCAAATCAGGTATCATGGTAACTATTACCCTCACAAACCAGAAAGTAAGATAGATGTTGGTTTGACATCTCAACTATGAAACTGGTCAACCAGTAATTATACTGTTTGTATAAAAGTAATGTCAAAAACTTTGTATGCATGCAAACTGCAAGCAGAAATTAAAAACCAACCAAAGGTCTTTTCATCATAATGTGCATTTCAAAAGATGCTTAATTTTTTTACCAAAACCTTTGTACCTTACCTTGCCAAACATTCAAGGCAGCTCACATTCCATGAAGGATAATACAAGCAAATATAAATGACAAATATCAAAAGGAGAAGGCACGCTGGTTTTAGAATCAAGGAGTCCCTCATCCTTTTAATTAACAGAACACAACGCATTTGAACGGAACATACTGTATAGAGGAAGAGAGCCGTTTTCCTCAAGGTGCAGTTCCAGATTTTTCAAGGATTTTCACCCACTCATGTGAATCAGTTTTATATAACACTCTAGCATATAATTTGCATCCTACTCACAAACCAACACTTTAGCATTAACATTTTTCTCATACTGGGGTTATTTAAGGAATAAGAGCCTGGTACTTTCTAAAATGTGCAAGCAACCATTTCATTTGTATGTCATTAATCACACCATGCAGCCCTAAATCTGTAACAAAAATGACTTGTTTTATACAAATTAGGGTACTTCACCCAAAATAGAGCCTCAGCCAACTTCCACATGGCATGCTCAGACTCAGTGTGATGCCTGTGAAAGGTCTAAGACTGACAGCAACACAAAGTACTTTTCCATTCATAGAAAGATACAGGAATAACTGCGTCAAACTTCCATCAAGATGTAATGTGTCTTAGCAGCAATGAGAGGAGCTGAGTCTTTGGACTTATTCACAATTTTCAGTCTCAGGCTTAGTTTTATAATCACTGTGACATGAGCCTAAATCAGATCGAAACAAACACCAACCCATTACATGCCAACCACTGAAAAGGTATTTACAATGGCAAAGATAGCTAGTTAATGGAGAATCAAATGGAAAAACTGCAAAAGCCACAAATGCCTATGCATGAATACTCCCCTTAGGAGAACACAAATCCTCATATACCAAAGTAATGCAGTGCGTACAACAGCAGGAGCTTAGGTGAAAAAAATTCCTACTGATATTTTAGTTTTCACATTCTGGCCTTTATATGCAGGTGGGCTAGTTAAGTACAGTACGTGAAGCCTCCCTTCTCCAGTCGCAGTAGTGTCATAAGTTTCAGAACATTCTTCTACAAAACAGGTACTGAAACAATGAAAACTTCATTCCGATTAGAATAGACAACCCTGACTGCTTTTTAGTCCACTAGATGCTGTAATTTATACCTAAGAATGATATCAGAGTAGTAATTCCGCTCCAAAATACCACAAAATCTTGACAAAGCAGAGTTTGACAAGATCAATTATTAATTTTACTTTGGAATTTCATCCTTTATAGCCAAGGCATTTTCTGCCCCCAACCCCTACCCGACAGATCATCTAGTCTTCTACAAAAGAACAACTTCCTCGAATCTTTAGCATTTGCACTGTCAGAACCAAGGATCTAATAAGGTGCTTCTGCCAGCAGAACTGCATCTGTCAATGGAACGGAAAGGAAGCAATGCCCAACCACCATCGCAGCCTTCTGGGCAACCCTAAGACTGGCTACAGAGGACTGGAGGCCTTTCCAGAACTCGGTGTCTCATAATTCAGGGTACTACAGGGAGAGGGAGGAGAACTCCACTGCTGGCAGTAAGGTACTGTGGTGATGTTGAATGTGGGCCCTAACTCTGTAAACTGCCAAGTGAACGTTTTTCTGATGCTAACTAGACTGCCCTTCACCCCTCCCTTTTACACACACACACACACACACACACCCATGCCTCCTCAATACTCATAGGGCATAGTAAGCTTTCAACTTGAGCTTTGATTTTTTTTTTTCAGTATCAAAATACATTCAACTACAGGCCTAGAAACTAAAGATTAAAGTGGACAGAAAATTCCATTATATTTCCATGTTTAAGATAAATTTACCTGCCCTCTCTTTCCAATGCAAACAAAACTCCTTTCTTTTGGAAAGGAAGCAGTCTCCTTTTTAGCCTTTCTGGTAGGTATGACAGCTCCTCATCAACACTCAGATCTGAACAAGACGTTGTTCCGCATGCCTCTTTAATGACACTTTCCATGTTCAGCCTAATAAATATAAAGAAAAGAAAAAGTTTTATTTAACCATGCCACACTTTTTATTCTCCAGTACTTTCTGGCAATACTAAATTCTAAAAACAATGTTGACCACTTTACTATACAGTATTATCAGAATGAACACGACAGCAATTCAAGGAATTTCGGAAGCAAATAAAGTGATACACACATATATGTGTGTGTGTGTGTGTCACTGTCATTTTTATGTGTTTCCATATAAATATGTAAACATGTTTGAACATTTTAGATTGATTCCTAGTCTTGTACTTCAACTTAGAATTGCAATTTAGATGAGTGGGAAGACATATGCCCTTTGTGTATAATTGATATAAGCTGTGCTGTCGGACTTTATAAAATTTATGGAATTTTAATGTCAAAAATAGCAACACATTGTTTATACTGCTGTACAAGACATGCTGTAGAGCAAACGAAGCTATAAAAAATAAAGCAGGTTCTTGAAAACCAAGGTGCCTATGATCTCTCTACTGACAGGAGGCCAAATAACAGGAGGAAAGGAATGAAACATCTCAAAGATCATCAAGACTTTCTGCAGAACTAAGAAAATGAGTTGCAAGATGAACTGAATGGTAAATCACCATACCATTCCAGATTCAGGATTCCATCTGATTTTGGAAGCCAAATACAGTGGTGCCTCGCAAGACGATATTAATTCGTTCCGCGAAAATCGCTGTTAAGCGAAAACATCGTCTTGTGAAACACGTTTTCCCATTGAAATGCATTGAAAACCTGTTAATCTGTTCCAATGGGAACGGGTTGTCATCATAAAGCGAAAATTGCCATAGGAAACATCGTTAAGTGAAACACGGTTCCCAAGTGAAGACCGCCGTCTAACGAAACAGAGACCATTAAAAGACTCGTATAGCGAAGCAAGACCAAGCTGTCAAAAACATTGTAAAGCGAAAAACAGGGACCTAAAATTTAACCGTCTTGCGAGGCAAGGTCCCTAACATCGTAAAGCGAAAATCGCCCATAGGAAACATCATTAAACGAAGCGCAAGATCACTCCAAAAACCTCATCGTAAAACGAATTCGTCATCATGTGAAACAATCGTCTTGCGAGGCACCACTGCAGAATCAGGCTTGGGTAGTACCTCAATGTGAGGCCTCCAGGGAAAGTTGGGAACCTTCAGGTAGGGCTAGGAAAGAATCCTGTCTGAATCCCTGGAGAAAGGCTGCCAATAAGAATAGACCATTCTGGGCTATAGGGATTGACATCATGACTCTAAGACACAGCTTCTAATGAAATGCTGAAGCCATCTATAATTGAACAATGGTCAGATGATACCCTGGGATCTAAATTTCCACACTGTACCATTCCACAGCTTCTTTTCCACAGACATACTACCCTACATTTGTTAAGTAGAAACCCTGAAAATGACAGCCGAAGCATTTATAGCAGAAATGGGCAAAATGTAGGCCACAGGCCACATGTAAGGCCTGAAGCCCCTTTTTTGTGACCTTGTAACATCCCTGAGAAAAGTTAAATATAAATATATCACAGATGGGAAGTCTAGTGCCGAGTCACTGACATATATATATATATATATGTTTGTGTGTGTGTAAAAATCTAGCTTGCATTCCCTTGATAGCGCTTGTTCCTTCAAGCTAGATTTTAAACAGCCACATGAACAAGAGGTTCAGGTGCAGTATCTAATGCACAGAAACAGGACACTTGAAGGCCTCTGCCTTCTGTATCCACTGGTCCATGTGACACACAGTAGCAAAGAGACATTTGGCAGCATGGCTCACTATCAAAACTTGCCCTCAGTTGAGAAGGGAGGAACTGCCACTTGTTTAAACAACTGAACAACAACTGATGATTTTTTAAAGTGAACCCTTTTAAAAAAAGCATTTCAAAGAGTTCTTTAAATGCCAGCCTGTCTCTCACTTTAATGTCATGTCACTTCCTTAGCAGCAGCAAGCCTAGATTCCTTCACATCTCTGTGCCTGGGTTCATTTGACTGATAATCCTCTGCATCAGTGATTTCCAACCTTGGGTAATCCAGGTGTTCTTGGACTGCAACTCCCAGAAACCCCAGCCAGCACAGTGAGTGGTGAAGCCTTCTGGGAGTTCCAGTTCAAGAACACCTGGGCTACCCAGGTGAGGAACCACTGTTCTACAGCCTCTAACATTCCTTCTCCAGCTACTCCTGTGATATGGTACTAACAATATAGCAAACAAATTGAAATCAAAGTTTAAAGTTCATGAATCCCAACGTTTTTCTGAAAGGCTTGCCACTGACTGAAGGTTTTGTTTTTGCTCTTTTTTTAAAAATGACTGGGAGGTGCAATAAGAACGTTGTGCTTTGCATAGCAAGAAAGAGAACATTTTTTTCAGAAGTACAGATTGTCTGTTTCTGAGGTGTCCTCAGCACCCTTGGGGGAGAGTGACATGCTCTTCACTTCTCATTTTTTTGTTTTCCCTAGAACCCTTTTCAGTTCAAAAAAAAATTATTTCTTTTTAGTTAAATCTATTTTTCAATTAAGAAAAACTCAATGTCAAAACCTTGACAGTACATAACTGCTGCATAAAAATGAATCTGAAAAATGAAGAATTAAATATTCAAATCAGCCTCTTTGGTCATACATACCCTCCCTCCCTTGTGAATGTTGCCTGGGGGATACCAGACACTCTGAAAAATGGCCCTTTGCACTAGTGAGACAGCCTATTCCATTACATAAAATTACCAAGGATAAGCCTTGGATTAAGGACTCAGACTTTAAATATAAAATACAAGTTTAAGTACTGTAGGTGGAATATTAATATTCATAATTTGTACAACAGCGGCCAAAATCCTGTTCACCCAGGTTTGAATGGTGGAGGCCAGTGGCATTATCGGCTTGCAGCGTGAAAATTTATTTAAAATTAATTAAATGCTTCCTAGTCACTCTCATGGCATTATCGGCTTGCACCGTGAAAATTTATTTTAAATTAATTAAATGCTTCCTAGTCACTCTCACCCCATTTTAGATTCACACACACACCACTTCCTTTTGCCCTAGGAAAGCCTACTAGGCCTAGGAAAGCCTAGAAAAGCTTCAGGCCTCAGAAGGGAAGCCTTCAATTGCCAAAAATTGCTGCTAAATTGCTGTTGACGGTGCAAATCCCAATGGTGGCAATTAAAAGATACCATCACTACCTGTCCCAAGCCTCTGAAAGAATTCCATAGGAGGAAAGGGAGCCCCAGGGAGCCTCAAAAACTATAATCAGGGTATAGGAAGAATTTATTTGATTTAAAATAAATCTGAATGGCAGAAGCCAATGACATCATCAGCTTCTGCTGCACAAAGTTATGCAAACAGGATTTGGGCCAGTAAACATAACATGTCACAATTCATTCATTCATTCATTCATTCATTCATTCATTCATATGAATGAATGGTTTGTGTGTGTGTTTACACATACACACAGTGAATGAATGAATGGTTTGTGTGTGTGTGTGTACACATACATACATCTATCTATCTGTCTATCTACCTATCTATCTGCACGTGTGTGTGTGTTTGTGTATCTGTCCTGAGCCTCTGATATATATAGTATATAAATGTGTATACAGCACAGTGGTGCCTCGCATTACAATGTTAATTTGTTCCAGCGAAATCACTGTACAGTGGACCCTCGACTTACAGACGGCTCGACTTACAGACTTTTCGAGTTACAGACTTCTCTGGCTGCAAAATTTAGATTCGACTTGCAGCCGGAGAATCAACCTACAGACCAGAAAAAAACCAAAATGGAACAAAAATAGAATAAAAACCGCTGGTTATGGGATTATTCGGTTTTCAGTGCATTGTAGGTCAATGGAGATTCGACCTACAGACTTTTTGACTTGCAGCCACCGTTCCAATACGGATTAATTCCGTAAATAGAGGGTCCACTGTAGAACGAAAACACTGTAAAGCGATTTTAAAAAGCCCATAGAAATGCACTGAAACCCCTTCAATGAGTCCCAATGGGCTTAAAACTCACTGTCCAGCGAAGATCCTCCATAGCGCAGCCATTTTCGCTGCCCGTGCAGCGAGAAATCCGTCCCAGAAAACAGTGGGTGGCCATTTTTTTTACCTGGCAGCCATTTTGAAACTGCCGATCAGCTGTGCAAAAATCTTCGTTTTGCAATAATTGGTTAGCGAAACAGGGAACCGATCATCGCAAAGTGAAACACTTAAAACTCACCGTCCAGTGAAGATCCTCCATAGCGTGGCCATTTTCGCTGCCCGTGCAGCGAGAACTCCATCCCAGAAAACAGCGGGTGGCCATTTTTTTACCTGGCGGCCATTTTGAAACTGCCGATCAGCTGTGCAAAAATCTTTGTTTTGCAATAATGGGTTAGCGAAACAGGGAACCGATCATCGCAAAGTGAAACAAGCCCATAGGGAACATCGTTTTGCGATCGCAAAAACTTCATCATGATGTGATTTCTTCGTTTTACGAAGTGATCGTAAAGCGAGGCACCACTGTATATATAAACATTTATATACTAGTAAATGCCCTTAGCTAGTTTAGGAATACAATAACAATCATTGCAAAAACAATTGATTGATTTTACAATCAAAACAAAGAAAAAAACTGAAACAGTAGCAAAGTATTAAATTACTCAAACTGAAGATGAAAACAAAGTTGGGGGAGGGGGGGAAAGAATGTCTACTGGAAGAGAAAGATCTTAGCTTGGCAACCAAAAATGTTATTTGTGAAAAATCCTTTAAAGATAATTCCACATACAGGGTCATCAAAGACAGGTCTCTCTCTAGTTGCCACTAGTAATTTCATGATGAACATCCAGAAAAGATTACCTACGTATATAAGCAGGCAAAAAGCAAGTCGACTCATTTCAAGCTGCTCAGAGATTTAAAGGATAGCAAACTTTCTGAATCAAGTCCAGACATTCACTTGTAATTACTACAGCACATCTAGTTTATAACAGCTTAGCTATTATATTATCAACACTCAATGTTGGTGGGCATGTAAGACAGTATTGAGTATGGCCCCCAGCCTTTGTCTAGCAGAATCTACCATCAGAATCTGCTTTACTTCACAACACAATTTCGGACAAGAAAGCTATTCTGGCAAGAAACAGCCAGAATAGCTTTTATTTCAACACTCAGGCAAATCAGGATCACAACCGCCAGGTTCTGAGTATAGAAGAGATTAATTTTAATAATACAGTGGATCCCAAACAGACATTCTTTGACGTCAACTTCCACAGCTGTGGCCAAGGAATGTCTGTTTGGGAAACTCTGTAATAACAGGCCAAGCTTTACCATAGAAGCAAGAATAAATATACAGAAACCATTTGTAAATTGGTTTCCACAGAAAACAATACACCCACAACAATACACACTAATCATCCCATCTCACAGCCATAAATACTCCACGCCCTAGCCAAACTACACCAGAGCACAGTTTGCTGTCCTCTGAAGATGCCGGCCACAGAGACTGGCGAAACATTAGGAAAAACCACCTTCAGAACACGGCCAAGAAGCCCAAAAAACCCACAACAACCATTTGTAAATTATTCTCACCCTGTAATGTGGCTACTGTTTCGTGGGGGAGAAAAGATGATGATACAAACTGTTTGATAAGGGAAACAGAAGGCTTACACAACATAAGCAATTTATAGTTCCTACTGATCACAAGGACGTATAACTGCACATTATGCGAACTGGGATTTTCAAGTTTTAATCTTTTGATAAAAGTCATTACCCCTATTGCAACTGTGCTTCAGGATCTGTCCTTCCAGTGAATACTCAGAGTTGATTTCCTTTAGAATGGATAGGTTTGTTCTCCTTGCACTCCAGGGAACTCTCAAGATCCTCCTCCAACACCACAGTTCAAAAGCATCAATTCTTCGGTGGTCAGTCTTCTTTATGGTCCAGCTCTCACTTCCATACATCGCTACTGGAAAAACCTCAACTTTGACTATGTAGACCTTTGTCGGCAAGGTGATGTCTCTGCTTTTTAAGATACTGTCTAGGTTTGTTATCGCTTTCCTCCCAAGAAGCAGGCGTCTTTTAATTTAGTGGCTGCTGTCTCCATCTGCAGTGATCATGGAGCCCAAGAAGGTAAAATCTGTCACTGCCTCCATATCTTCCCCTTCGATTTGCCTGGAGGTGATGGGACCAGTGGCCATGATCCTAGCGTTTTTGATGTTGCACTTCAGACCATTTTTGCACTCTCCTTTTTCACTCTCATTATGATGTTCCTTAATTCCTCCTCACTTTCTGCCATCAGAGTGCTATCATCTGCATATCGGAGGTTGTTGGTATTTCTCCTGGCAGTCTTAATTCCGGTTTGGGATTTTTCCAGTCCTGCCTTTCGCATGATGTATTCTGCAT